ATTAAAGAGGAGTTGTCCAGGTTTCTTTAGTACTTGTATTTATATCTTTAGTTCTTTAGCTTCAGCTTTTATACTAGAACCATAAAGCATTTGGTATTTGTTTCTTATACAAGGTGTGAAAAATGAATGTAATTTTATCTTTAAAAAAAAAAAGGTCTATTGAGATGTTCCAGAAATATTAGTTTGTGTTTGTCCTAGTGATCTAAGACGCCATCTTCATCACATACATTTAAGCATTTCCATATGGCTTCAGGTGTACTGCCGTGTGTTCCATTTTATTCCACTGGCCCATTTGTGTGTCCAAGTGCCGGTACCACCTGTGTCTACTGCAGAGGTTATGAGAGGGTTTCAAGGTCTGGAAGGGCTAGTTCCTTCCCTGAGGTCTTCCATGTTTCAGCGCTTTCCTAATCTTTTTTTTTTTCTTTTTAAACTTTCTTTTTCATTGTTTCTTTAGAGATTTTTTTATATGGTATGTGCACTTGCCAGAGAGATAGAGAAGAAAGCGAGAAATCATCCCCCCACCAGGAGGGATGGCCATGCCACAATCCCTTCTCCTCCATTCTTCTCTTGGGATTTTGGGCACACATGCACATGCACAAACTGCCGGGTCTGGGACTTGACATGGTTAACTATGTGGGAGTCCAACACCTTAACCATTACGCTACCTGCTGGCACCCAAGTTTCTTTCTTTTTTTCCTTAGAAATGAGAAGAGAGAGGTACCTCCAACAGCAGCTTCATGCTATGATCTACGCCCAGCCTCCACTAGCCAGGATCAGATACACACACAACATGGATAGGGAGATCTTTGGACGTGGACCTTCCTATATGGCTTAAGCACTGTGGAGTGTTGTTACTACTGGCATGGTGGCTGGTCCCTAGCAATTCTTCATTGCTTCTTTTCCCATACAAACTTTAGTAAAAGTTGATTTAACATGAAACTTAATAAATTTTCAGCTATACTTATTAAATGTTTTCCTTTTTGAAAAAAAGGTTTTTGCCATAAGACACATATGCTCCCTGGAGAAAGGGAAAGTGAGAGGTCACCCCCCACAAGGAATGGCAACCCACAACCTCTTCACCTCCATTATCCTCTTGGGATTTGGGGGATGCATGCATATGTGCCAGGCATGATTTTTAAGCCACAGGGTCCAAGACATGAACTGTGGTGGGCCATGTGGGAGTCTGCTACCTTAACCACCACGCCACCTGCTGGCCCCAGTGAATATTTTCTTAAGTTCCAGCCTGCCACTATTTGAAAGTTTAATTCCTTTAGTCTCATCTTTTCCCTGGATTGCTAAGTGTCCACGTGTGAATGTAAACCTGACCCACAAGAGCTTTGCACCCTATCTGTTTATCCCCTTGCGTCACCGCAGTGTCTCCTCCCAGTCCAGGTCAGATCCCTCACCAGACAAACAACAGTGTCTTCCATTTTCTCAACATGTTTCTGAAATAAGCGCTGAGACAGCAGGAGCAAGTTCATTATCCCACAGTGACCGTAAGGCAAGACTCTGATACTATCATGAACAGGGCGACTTACTGCGAGTCCTAAATTCATCTCTCCTGGTCTGGGAAGGGCCTATCACAGGCTGTGACAACGACCTGTCCTGTCAGTCAGCAATGTACAACAGACTGGAAAAGAGAGAGAGGAAGATGTTTTGCAGAAAAAGGGTCTTTTCCCATTAACCAGTAGAAGCCAAGTACTACACAGCATATTAGTTTTTGTTTCTCTACCTGCCCCGCTTTTCCCTTGTTCTAAGCCCACATGTAGTCCCAGCTTTGCACACGAGGCAGGCAAAGAATCTCTGAGTACTGTGGAGGCCATTAGAGTAGCCCAGTCAATACTGCTGCCTCTGTGGAGGTGAAGGGGCTGCCCTGGGAGAGTACAGGTGCTAAGTCCAGGTAGCAGGGGGCGTGGCTACGTGACAGGCAGCGCCCGCGGCCCTTTGCAACCTCCGGCGGGGCGAGGGGCGGGGTCAGCCCGTGGGGGCGGGGCTAAGGCCGGGCCCACAGGGCTGGAGCGTGGCAGGGGCCTTAGCGCTCCTCAGGCCCCGAGATCAGAAATCCGAGGGCGCCTGCCGCCTTTTTTTGGGCCCCCGGCCGCACCGTCTCCAGTCTCCTCACTCCGAGGTCGGCGGAGCTGCAGGAAACGGCCACGGGCAAGGAGCCCACCTCTAGGACGTTGAGGGGGGACTGGACCCAGTTTGGCCGTGAGATGGCGGCGGCAGCTGTGAGCAGCGCCAAACGGAGCCTGCGGGCCGAACTGAAGCAGCGTCTGCGGGCGCTGAGCGCGGAGGAGCGGCTCCGCCAGTCGCGCTTACTGACCCAGAAGGTGCGAGTCCCATTCGCTCCGTGCGGGGCGGCGTCAGGCGGGCGGATCTGCGCAGGCGCACACGCAGGCGCGCGGATCTGCGCAGGCGCGCACTTCCCTTCGTAGGGTGGCGGGATGGTCTTGGGTACCATGGCGGGCAGAGGGGCAGGTGAGGGCAATCCTGGCTCTAATGAGGCAGAGAGGGCAGTGGGTGTCCGACTTCACTCTAAGAGTGGGGTTTGGATGGGTGCCGCCAGTGGTGGTCATAAACCCATAGTGGGGACGGCGGCGGTGTTGGGGTGAGAGCCGAACGCTCTGGGGAGGGCCCTCAGCGCGTT